AGTGCCTATAATATTTCTATCTAATTCAGCTGCCTACAATAGTTTCAGAATATTTTTGTTAGTTTAGCTGAAGAGTGTGTGTGTATAAAATGAATTATTTTACATAAGAGCTAAGCACAATTGGCTGGCAAATACCAGCCAGTGTTTAATTAAAGGAAAACACCAAATTCAAACTTAAATTGATCTCACACAAAAGCACAACTGTACCCATAGAATTTTAAAAATTATCACCAAATGATAATGTTACATTATTTTACCATTTTCAAGACTTGGAACATTTATAATACCTGAAGTCCCCATTTTAGAAAAATGCCCCCTTAAATGCATATAATATGCTTTCAGTTTAACCTTTACTACCTACAAATAAACAATGAAGCAGATCTAAGTCTGATCCAACAAACTATTTACTGTAACTTCAGAGCTGTAGCAGTGAAATTCTCTGTTTTAAGTATAACACCATTAAGTGCAAATTATACCATCTGTGCATAATTGGACTATAGTTTGATTTATTTATCTTAAAATGGAGAGCTATTACATATTCAAAAATGAGGAAAATACACCTATATTAAAATTTAAGACTGGGCGTGTTGGCGCACAACTGTAATCCCAGAGCTGGCGAGGCTGAAAAACAGGAGGATCACTATAAGTCCAAGCTGTCTAGTGAGACCCTGTACCTAATATACAAAAATAAATGAAATTTAATGAACTTTTTGTAGCAGTATACTTGCTTTAATTTTAAAAAATATGGATTTAGCATTCACTGCAATGACTATATTAGTCAAAATAGTTTTACCAATTTTAACAAAAGAGCAACCCTATTCACTTTTGCAAGTTAGCTCATTAACATATTAAGTGGCCTAACAAAACACATTTCAGAAATACTTGCATTTTAGTTACAAATTTACTTTACTACCTTTTTTTTTTTTTTGTATTTTTAGGGAATTATCTATGGGGTGTTCAGGGTTCAACTACTAGATCAGACTCCTAGTGGTCCACCTGTTTACAGCCTCCCCAGAGCTGGGATTAGTACATCTTGTTTGTTACCTGATACCAAGAAGATACAAATTCAGTGCAAGGAAATACTTGTATGTTTATAAAAATACGGTTTGATGTGTCCTCCTCACATGTCATATTCTCCCATGAGAGGAATAGCATGGTTCAAATATAGTCATGAATAATATTTACCTTTTTTACATGAATAATATACTTCTGGAAGACACTGCTGTTTGTAAGATAATAACATTTAAGACAAAGGGACATAATACATACATTGTACTTTTTCTGAACTTCTTAATGAAATTATTGAAATAAGATTATGCTTTTAAATGAATTACCAAAATTGATCTGTCATTCAGAATCCTTGCAGTATTAGTTTCTTGAATGGTGTGAAGATAATCAAATTCATGTGCTATTTCCAAATTACAGAACGATGCTATCAACTGATTATGTCCTTTTAATTTAAGGTTGGGCTGGAGACTTAAAATCCTCCAACCTCCATACTTTAGGAAATGCAAATTATTGTTAATCAACGTCCAAAGACAAACTGACAGCAACACTATTATAGAATAAAGGAGCACACAGGAGTTCCGGATCCCTTACTGTTTGACCCTCGGGATTGCATTGGGACTCTCTGAGCCAGCCAGAGATTCCTCTGCTCATACAAAGAAATACGACTTGCAGACTGAGTTTGGTTGCAAGACTGGTTCTAGGAGGGATATATGGCAATTTATAGACAATTTATGTAGCTAAATTTTCTTTATTCATGGTCCCCGTAAACGGTTAAACTTTAACTCTTATCAGAAGGTGTTCTGATACAAAGGAGAAAATATCAGTCAATCATTAAAGTTGAGAGGAGTACAGAAATAAGAATTATGTAAAAAATATTAACTTTTCAGATTAGCTTGGGTTTGGGGAGTATAATTTTAACTGTAAGAAATTTAGATTGTAAAAGTGGACAAGAAATAGCAACATAAAATCTTAATCAAAAAATTATAGAGCTGGCCAGATAGCTCAGCAGACTAAAATGCCTGCTCCAGCACAGCACAGAGGCCCAAGTTGGATCCCCGCGTGCTGTGCCGGCCCAGTCCCTGGGGTGCGCTGAGAGGGCAACTAAGACTGGGTGTGGTGGCACACGCCTGTAATACCAGGCCTTGGAGGCTGAAAACTGGAAAATCACTATGAGTCCTATCTACGCAGTGAGACCCTGTAGACCCTGTAGGCCCTGAACTAAATACATGAAAGAAAAAATTATACCATAAACGTTCAAGAAAAAAGTGAATAAGGCAGTTATTATAAAATTGAACTTCAAGGTGGTAAATTATTTTTTCTGTATTTTTCTTAAATTTAATGAATTTTTATTTCAAAAGTACTACTAGGTCAGACTCGTAGTGATTTTTCTGTTTACAACCTC